CACGTACATTTACTCTGCATTGATACACTGACTCAAACAACTAGAAACAGAAACAGCGGATAACTTCGCTCTAACGCGAAATCTGAGTAAATTAATTTCATAAACCCGCAAAATTACTTCCTTTGAGCATTTCTATGCTCCTCATCTCGATGATCAGACAGATTTATTCCCACAGGTACAAAAGGCTTACCTGCACAGTCCAGACGTCCCAGAAAACTGGAGAAGAAAAACACAAATAACATTTTAACATCTGTCACTTCCTTTTCTACTAAGATTCACTTGTTGGCAGTTTCTTGGTCAAACATCAGAGCTTGTTTTAAAGTAGCAGATTTATCTAAGAAAGTTTTGTCACGTAGTTTCGCTTTTCGTAAAGGACGAATTATGACTGATATGTAAAAGAAGAAGTCACGTGATTTACATGTACCAGCGTATGGAAAACCCGGAAACACATCTCCATCAAAATAAAAGCATGTTTCCACGGATTTATTAATTTTACAATAAAAATATGTACTATCAAAATGATCCACTCATTAATTTATTCTTTCTAGACCACAATTAAGTTAGTGATAATTTAATGGATAATGACAAAAGAAGTATAATAAATCAAAATGAGTTATTAACCCGATAATAAATATTTAAATTTAAAAAAGGATTTCCAGAAAGAAAACAAAATTAACCACTCAGTTTTTTTTATTCACAACTGAGAAAAAAATAGATAAAAAACAAAAATCATGAAAATGCAAAAATTCAAATTAGGAATATAGAGTTTGCTGTTATAGTTATTTTGTTCTTTTTTTGTGTGTTATTTTATTGTATCAGAAAGCAACAATTAATGTATTGATAGCAATTCAGTAGTTTCACTACTTGTCATTGCAGACAGTGAAGGTGCTGCGCAGAAACTGTGTTTTTTTCTCACCGTTTTTTGCGTGTACTATGGCTATGAACAGAATTTTTTTGCATATGATTTAGTCCTTTTGTGTTTAATCATATTCATTAGATAGATATGATTTAAACCACTGTGCCACGGGACCCTTAATACCTACAGCATGCTCTAATCACTCTAGAATATTATGGTCAACAGTATCGAACGCTGCACTGAGGACAAGCACAGAGATGAGTCCACTGTCAGAGGCCATAAGTAGATCATTTGTAATGTTGGAGCTATTTGTTCTTTATTTTTTATTATTTTGAAATTAGTTAAAGTTTGTTAGTTTATTTATATTTTGGGGTTTATTTGTTGGTTAATATTTTGTTTTAAATGATTTGTTTTGTTTGTTGTTATTTTGTTAAATTAGTCAATAAGAGCTGTAGGGCCATTTTGTTTTTTATGAATAAAGAGACTGGTATAGGACCAGCATGCATTGGGGTGGGCCTATGGTTTTTTACCAGCGCAGGAGAAGCAGTAGGAAGGATCTTGTTATTGCTTGCCAAAATGGATAAATAAACCAAAACCAAAACTCTCAACTAAAAGGTTTGGACAATGGACTTCTTTTGCCTGCGTACGAAATATTACCTCAGTGCAGCAGTGGCTTGTGGACTTTAAGTTGTGAGACGTTTGAACTTTTAAAAGTAAAGGAATTGTCACTACATGTAACCTTCACTAAAGCTGTTTCTGTGCTGTGATGAGCTCTGAAACCTGACTGAAACTCTTCAAATAAGCCATTCTTCTGCAAATGATGTGTCAGGTGTTTGACAACTACTCTTTCAAGGATTTTTGAGCAGTTTTGTAGGAATGGGTCTGAAAGACACATTGACGGTTTGGAGGAAGTAATTACTCAAGTTAACTCAGAAAGATTTCCTTGTAACTAATACGGATTCTGAAGTACGAATTCACCAACTCTACAGGCATTTTGTAGAGGGTATAACAGCTGTGGCAGCTGTTTGTCTGGAAACAACTGTAATTTCCACATTTGGGCTTAATTCTCAAATAACATTAAGAGCTTTTTCTCAAAAAAAAAAAAAGTATTTTGCCTTTTTTCTTCCCAAAATAATTTTTTACTTCAAGCCTGAAATTTCGACTTTATTCTCAAAATGATCAGTAACATTTTTTTTAATGTGGCCCTAATACTCTTTCATACAGAGCTGTGGTTGTAAGCAGTAAAAGATAGAGAGAAGTTTGCTCTTCTCAGTATATTTGTGTAAATATCAAACTACACATTTCTACACACTCACACCCAAATTCTATTCAACAAGTTATCACATTCTGCAACATATTTATTTTTTTACCAGTTCTAACTGGGAACCTGCTGGATATTTAGAGGTAAAGCCGTTTTCTTTTAAAAAGCACCTTTGCTGGCTGTAACTCCCAGTTTTACCAGTAGATGGCAGCAGTCTGTACATATGACTCAATGGTATTTCAAGCGGTACTGATAGTTTCCCAGGCAGCGGAGCAATGAAGAAAAATATAATGGTTTCCTAAATTAAAAATAAAATAAAATGTTCCATCTGACACCTTTGTGAAAGCTACAGAACCAGATGAGGAAACAAAACAGTGACATTAATAAGGAACAGAAAAAACTGCAAAGTGTTTTTATTAGATTCTGTTAAGTGTATGTGGATTACTTATATTTACACAATACACATTAAAAATTTCCAATAAGAAAAGGTATAATTTGGGGATTATATCATTGCAATTAAGAGAGAAAATACGTAGAGAAATATTTTTTATTACGTGGATGCACTCTGCTCTGAGGTGGGAGACCAAAGGCGAGCAGGTGGACGTCAGTGGTTGGACTGGTGGACTACTTCAGTGAAGAGTAGACAACATCTGGCTCTGGTTTAAAGTCTGAACACAAGCACACACAGCTCAATCAACAGGAAACATGATTACAAGCTTTGTAGTTCAATCAAGACCTCCAGTCTCCACCTCTCTGCATCACACACAGTCCCAGTTCAGACATTACTGGGAATGACCTCAGATACAGAGTGCTCCCCTTAAATGGCTGTGGTTGCATTTTATTTCATTCTGTCCAGAAAGGCTAAGAAACACACTGCCAATGGATGATGCAGTTAAAGGGCGTGTGCCACCCAAGGCACCTGGTGTGGAAACATAGATCACACCTGCAGAGCCTGCCAAGGCCACGGTAATCCCGATATTACTAAGGCAGACAATCCCCCCCCCCCCACTGAGGAGTTGGTTGAAAGTTACCCCCTTATGATCAGTGATAGGTCTGACAGAATGAGAATCATGTGAGCATTACAATCAGAGGAGCACTGACAGCATAGAGACTGATCTGACTAATGACCAGTCTGCAGGTGTTTTTGACATAAGTCAGAAAGATGAAACAACTCTTGAGTCTGTGTGTGAGGATCTTTGTGAGAATGACAGTATGTTTGATAAGGATTTGTTGAAGTTGTCTCAAAAGAGGAAGACCTCTGAACCTGCCATACTAACACAGCAGTACTAAAGCTTTAAAAGCCAAGAGAGGAAACAAAGCAGGAGTGAGCAGTATCTGAAGGTGATTTGTCTCTGAACCAGGAACAGCAAAATCTGTACTCTGCTGCTGAAATCAGAAGGTTCTTACAGACGACAAAGGCCTCAGGCTGGTAAAAGTGGAGGACTACTTCCAGACCTGAAGGAGTTGATTGAGTCGTCTCAGGTTTTGACAAAAGAAAATCTGGAAATTTTGTTGATGGTGTGTTAACAGATCAAGACATGTATGTCCCTGTTTTTTTTCTCCATCTCTCCTTGTTTAAATGTGAATTTGAAATAGGCACTTTAAATTTAAGCAATGCTAGAGAAAAGAAAAGAGCTGCTTTTTTCAAGCTTGTGTATTTAAAGGAATTAGATATAATGTCAGTTCAAGAAACAGTGAGAGTGACTGGAGGAAGGGCTGTGGGCTTGAGGTCATTTTTAGTCACAAGTGGAGCTTTAGTGGAGGGGTGGGGATCTGTAAGATTTTTTCCTCTTTCATGCAAAGCATTTATTGAAAGTTAAAGCCAAATATGAAAATGTGAATTTTGCTTTTCTCGATATACAATTATAATATAAATAAATATATAAATATATAAATATATATTTAATATATATATATATATATATATATATATATATATATATATATATATATATATATATATATAATATATAAATATAAATAATAAATATAATAAATAATCTTATTTTCCACCCTAATTTACGAATAAATTCTTTACAAATCCTACCATGTGGATTCATGGATTTTTTTTCACATTCTGTCTCTCACAGTTGAAGTGTACCTCTGGTGCAAATTACTGACCTCTGTCATCATTTTAAGTGGGGGAACTTGCACAATCGGTGGCTGACTAAATACTTTTTTGCCCCACTGTATATACTCCAACCAAAGGGGTGGATAGAATGTTATTTTTCTATATAAATGTCCAGTGTGACACTGTTAAGATTGTAGTGATGAGGAGTATTTGTTTTTATGTGGGGATTTTCACTTGCACTGAAACCCATTACCCACAGGCTCAGATAGCTGACTGCAGCTGTGGACCTGTTAGATGTCTGAAGGGGCTTCCAACAGAAATCATAGACGCTTGGAGTCAATCTAAGGACAATCATTTGTCTTTGGCAAGATTGGATCGCATATATTCATATGTGGATTTTGTTTGGGACAAGTTGCACTGGATTCCTCAAAGTGTCCTTTTTCTCTCTAGCGAGGAAGGTGGACATGGCCTGGTCCATTTAGCCAGTAGAGGTGCTGCTTTTCGTTTTCAGTTAGTCCAGAGGCTGCTTACAGGACCCTCAGATCTTGTGTTTGTTTTCCATGTGGTCTCTGCTGAGAAAGGGAAGGCAACACCAGGCTGATTCTCTGAACCGCTTGCTGGATTGTCCAAACTGGGGAGGACTACCTAATCAGACAGCTCCACAAGTGCTTTCACTGAGTGGTGGAGCTTGGTGGACCTCAGCTAGATAATCCTGATGGATTTGCTGCTCAACTCGGAATTAACTCTATTTGAGTTGTTGGTCAGTTAAGTGTTAAGACTAATATTATTCTCCACTCAAGAAATTGGGATACATGATGCTCTGTGTAAGTCTGCATCATAAAGGGGGGACAGCATTGCTAATTAGCTGGCATCCATGTTAGTATGTAAAGTGCAATGTCTCCCTCTAGTGGTCATATATAAACCATGTGTGAGGATGGTGTTCATGTAAAATGTGAATCATAGTGTTCCAGTCAGTCATCAGTGTGTCTCTGCACTGCTGTAATTAAAATGTGTTCAGAGGGCCTCAGTGTCTGAATGGTTCCAGTTCAGCTCCATAACAGCAGCGTCCCTGGTTTGATTCCTATGTTTCAGCTCATCTCTGTCTCTCTCACTGAGGGGTGTCATGGTCCTGGGCCATGTGGGCCCAGTATTCTCAGTTTTTGTGTGTTTTGTATTTTGTTCCTTATTTAGGCCATGTTTCCTGAGTTGCCCTGTTGTGTTGTTCCCTAAGTGTTTTCCCTTCGTGACTCTCACCCCCTGTGTGCCCCTCTGTGTATCTGTGAGCCCTCGTCTCTCTTTGTGTTTATTCCATGTTTCCCCTGCCCGTTATGTCTATGTTCTCCCTGTGCTCTCTCTCTCTCTCCTCCTGTCTGAACCCCCGTGTACTTCCTGTTTTACTTTGTGACTCTCGAGCCTGTATACGTCATGTTATGTTCACCCCGCCCTGTCTCGTTATGGTTATCTGTGCCAGCTGTGTTCCCCGTGTGCTCCCACTTCCCTCGTTAACCCTCTGTGTATTTATGTCTGCGTCTCCCTCGTGCTGTGTGTGGTTCTCCCCGTGTCTTCTGGTATATGTTACAATTAGCTTTTCGTAGTGTAGTGTAGTGTAGTGTAGTGTAGTGTAGTGTAGTGTAGTGTAGTGTAGTGTAGTGTAGTGTAGTGTAGTGTAGTGTAGTGTAGTGTAGTGTAGTGTAGTGTAGTATTGCTTTGGTATCACTGCTTTCGTTTGTCACCTGTCAGCAATAAAGCTGCATTTTGAGTTTATCCCCTGAGTCCGTGAGTTTGCATTTTGGGTCCTCATCCTGCCTGCCACACAGCGACCATGACAGGGGGACGTAACTACATGGACATGGATTTGTTTATCAACCAAACTACAGATCACTAGCATCAAAAGATAGTGACTTTTTCAAATGTCTTTTCGGTGAACAGACAAATGTCTGTGGGCATTACAGCTTCAAATTTTTAAGACAAAAGATCTTATAATGTTTTTCTAGTTATATTTTTTAAAAATAGTTTTATCATTTTACTCAAAAAAAAAAAAAACTGAGTTCCCCAATTCTATGTTTGAACCAGAAGAAAAGCTGGTGCTCAGAGGAAGAGGGCAGCTTTACTTGGTGTCAGTGACAGAAATGAAAAAAAGCTGAAATGAGTGAGAAGGACGATGAAGGAAACATCTGTGCTGTGTCTGCTCTGTAAGTAGAATCTCTGAGTTTGTTTGAATTCTTGGACTTTGACTGTCTGCTCTCCTGATAACTGATGATGGAGGAGAAGACATGAAAAACAAATCAGGCTGAATTCAAGTTGAAAACACCACGAGGACCAACTGCAGGTCTGACTGACTCTTTATCTTTGCTCAGGAGTCGAGGAAACACAGCAGGCAGTGAAAAGATCAAATCATTCACTCATATCAACACAATGAACACGTTAGTCTATTGTGTTATTTCAAAGTAGTGGATATTTTGTATTTTCTCACAGCGTATTTATATAATCACAACGATGACTTCAAGAGCTGTTTCCCAGATAAAAACTGAGACCGAGGGGATTGAAGAATCCAAATTGTCTGGATATTTGTATATTTGTTAGTATGATTACTGATTACTGTGTTTGTTGCCCAAATGTTATTGAAAGGTGACATCAGATCTGACATCAGATTGAAAAAAACAAAAAAAAAGCAGAGAAGCAGGTTTCTCAGCTGTTTGTGTGGGTTGAGTTGTTCTTCATGTTCAGCTCAAAGTCTCATTTCTCTTTAGTTCTGATCTCACTGCTGAACTGCACAACAAACCAAGGTCAGTAACCTTCTGTCACAGTTTAAACCTAATAAATGCTCAGTGATATGACCTGATTGGGTTCATGTTTCAGAGTGTAAAGTAAAAAGATCATCAGTTTTTCATTGTAACCCTCACAGCTCGTCTGACTGTGAGTCCCAGCAGCTCTCAGGTCTTTAAGGATGACTTTGTGTCTCTGAGCTGTGAGGAGGACGACAGCTCTGCTGGATGGACTCTGAGGAGAAACACAAGCAGAGACACCAGAGCTGAGTGTGGAGATGGGTTTGGAGAATCAGCTGGTTCTTCCTGTACCTTCAATCACATTGTCACCTTGGACAGTGGAGTTTACTGGTGTGAGTCCAGAGAGGGTGCCATCAGTAACATGGTTAACCTGACAGTCGCTGGTAAGCTGAGTGTGTGGAGTTAGTGTTGATGAAGCTGTGTGTAAATGGATGAAATGCTGTAGTTTGTCTCTGTGTTGAGGTGGATCAGTGATCCTGCAGAGTCCTGTCCTCCCTGTGATGGAGGGAGATGACGTCACTCTGCTCTGTAAAGCAAAGACCACTCCCTCCAACCTCCCAGCTGCTTTCTATAAAGATGGCTCCCTCATCAGGAAGCAGCCTACAGGTCACATGACCATCCAGCATGTTTCCAGGTCTGATGAAGGCCTCTACAAGTGTGACATCAGCGGTCATGGAGAGTCTCCATCCAGCTGGATCACTGTCACAGGTGACACACTCACCTGTCTGTGTTTCTGCAGCTTTCAACATTCACAATGTGACGACAACTTAATGACTGTGTTTGCTTTATTTTAGGGGAACACAACACCACACCTCCACCTACATCCACACCTCCTCCTCATAATAAACATGTGTCACATGTCCATATCATCCTCCCTGTGTTGATTGCTGCATCAGTCTGTGTTGTGGTTCTGCTGATTAGACGACTTGTTCATAGGAAACCTGAAGGTGAGACTCAGACTTGTAGACTATACATGTCAAGGTTTGTTTTGTAGACTTAAGTGAAGTATACACTCATTATAATTACATTAGCACTAGTGTTAGTATTTATTCTCTATGGCAGAGGGAAATAACTTTCTTAAACATTATTGCTTCATTTTAGCAGATCCAAAAGAAAATGGAGAAGACATCATGTACAGCGACATCAAAATATCAACTCGCCAACTACAGCCAGACAGACAAAGAGGTAATAATGTCCTTTACTGGGTTGGGGGTGGGGTTGCATGATTGTGGTATTTATAAAGTGTTGAGAACACTGGGCATTTTTATGTTTCAGGGTTTGTAGAGAGTTAGGACCCAAGGTTATGGGATGCAAGCATACCATATTGTCTTTTTTTTTCTTTTTAGCTAGAAGTAACTATATTTGGATGAGACAATAATGTACTGAATTGTTTACAAGCTACATCCATTGCACTGATGCATCACACAGACACCTGTTAATTAGCACTAAAAACATTTAAATAGTACTATTACCTGCACAGTCAGCCATAGTATTTTTCAGACACATACATTTAAAAAGGCACCAACTCTGTCCTCTGCATGTGTGTTATATTGTGCAGAGAGTGGTCCAGCTGCACTCTGTTCAGCAGGGAGAACACTACTATTCACTAAAAAAGAAAGATAAAATAAAATAAAATGCAACAATTTAAAAGGATGTCACTTATATTTTTTTATGTTTTTTTTCAAAATTACATTTAAACTTAAAATAGTAAAAATGTCCACATGTGCATTATGCTCATAGTTTTATCCAGGAGAACTTTTTCTCTGATCTTCAAATTCATAAATAATTAAGATCTGGTTTTATTATAGAGTAAAGAAGAATAAAAAATAGGAAAACAAACTACAAAAAGAACCTTTTCTGTGTTGAGATTATTATAAATGTGAAAATAAGTGTTTTTTTTTTTTGTTTGTTTTTTTTTTTTTTAAAAGTATTTTATTGATTTAATGCTAGACTTAATAATCTTAAATTACAGTCCATATTTTTACACTTTGAACCAATATTGGTTTTCATTTTCCCATTGTTTGTATGGAAGCTATTTTTTTTTCAAATGTACTCATCTTTAAAATCTCACTCTGTGCTTACTGAGTGTTCTTTCTGGACTGGTATTACTCTTTGTGGTTAACAAAAAATAAAAAAATAATAAAAATAAATAAATAAATAAATAAAAATAAAAAAAAAACAGCTCCGCTGTCGTCCACTTTCCTGTTCATCATTAGCGAAAAAAGTTTGTAGGCTTTTTCTTTTTGTTTTTATTTTGTTTTTGTTTTTTCTAAAAATGAATATCTATAACTCATTCATAAACTATGCACACTGTCATGAATCCAAAATTGTTAATAAAAGTTAGCAAATATTCAGATTTTTTTTTTTTTTTTTTTTTTTTAAATTACGATTTGAAATAAGAACTTCCAGTGCCGTTTTTCCTTCACTTTCATATTTTTTTAACACCAACATTTGGATTATCTGTGTCTTCAATGTTCACAAATTCTAAGTAACCTATATAAATATATTTAGTAGTTTATTAGAATCTGAAATGTTTCTGCTGGTTTGGCCCATCGCTCTTCTTTCTCGGAGCCAAAGTCACATCAGCAGGGCTTCAGAATTGGAGCTGTCACATGATACACGGAGACTACAAATATATCTTGCAGTGCTTCAATGCAAATTTAAATTAAGTGACAGACTTTCAATTTTGAAAATTATTAAGGTATAAATGGATCTGTCTGAACAGTTATTGTTACCCAGAGTTTTTAAATGCGCTGTCGCACGAGCGTATGTTGCTAACATCTGGAATTATTGAGAGGTTCCATAATCTGCCACTGCTCTTAACAAAAAGGTCCATAGAAATGAAGACATGATGTGAATTTCATTCAACAGCCCTGGTCTTTCTTAGACAGGTAGAATTAAGGCACCAGTATACACATAGCACTGATTGCGTCGCACACCACTGCAATTTTATGGCGTGGAAAGTTTCTGCAATATTCATTTGAATGATACTGTTGCTACTCATAAACTACCATCACATAAATGCTGATATAGGATGAGAAAAAATCTAAACTGGAGCTTGCCAAGTGTTATGACCCCTGTGGCAAAAGTGGTGCAACATAACAGGGCAACAACTCAAGTTATACATAAGCCGAATCTCCAAACAAAAAACCGTGTGCATGAAATAAATTCTACAACCTTACAAACTATTTATAATTAACTTACACCATTAAGTAGTAGCTTCTACAATGCCAAAACAACAAACAGAAAAGGAAACAGTGAACAATAAAGTGAAACCAAAAAGTAAAACGCTTATGCTCCCTGGCCACAAAACAGGAGACAAGGTCTTGATGCATGCTCATTCATCCAGGAAAGGAAATCCCCAAAAGTTGATTCTGTTCATCTGGACGTAGCTTTTTCTCCCACTAAAACCAGATGAACAGAATCAACTTTTTGGAACAGAAGAAAAGGTTTGAGTAGGAAAAAAAATGGTTGAGAGTCCCTGCCAAGCTTTTGCAAGCTTTTGCTTGGAAAGAGGCCTGACCGAGCCACGGGCGCCAGGCCCGCCAAGCAGCCACCGGGAGTGAGCCGGTACATACCTGAGCTCCCAGCCCAGACACCAAGAACCACCAATGCACCGACGGCTGAGGGCATCAGCCACCAGCAGGGCGTGTGGTGGGGGGAGATAGGCCTCCATACTTTGGAGGGACTGAGATGTTCCCAGAGAGGTGGCGTCTGATACTCGACCTGACGTATAGACAGAGACAAACAGGCACACACAGACACAAACACAAGACACAGACACAAATGTGAATTCCAACCATGGAACGTTTTGCAATGTTTTGTTTTTTTTCTCCAACGTGTTGTATTTTCAAACTGTTGCAACATTTCCCTCCATATATCTGTATATCTCTGAGCCTCTGTCCGCCAGAGGGTGTGAGATCAAACTTGGTGAAGCATGTGACAGGAACACTGTTAAGCATCAGTCTGTGATTATAGAGGGCAGCACGAGGCCACGAGGAATTGAAAAGGCTAAGCTCAATAAAAGAAAGACGTTGGAGGAAGATACTGAAAATATACTGTGTTAACTGACCTGTTTACAGACCACAGGTGCAGTTGATAAAGAGATTATACAGATCAAACTCTGTATTTTCAGCATGACCAATAAGGTCAGCACAACCTTTGTTATAAAACAAATTAATATGACCACGGTCATTAGCTTATTAGAACCCAATAAGTGGAGGATAATTCACGACAATCCTTAGTTTTAAGATGAAAATAAACACAATTCATAGGTTCCAGGATGATCTGTGTAATATTAAATAATTCTTAAATGGAATGTTTTTGTAGCATTGAAGCAGCAGATAAGCCCATCTGATGCTGCTGATGCCTATAACCATGAAGCAGCCATGACTGAGGGGAATAGTTTTAACAGAGTTAAGTTATTTAAACTATGTATGTGTAAATCAAAATATAACAATAAAATAACATGCAGAGAATAGATGTGAAAATGTTTAAATTGTATCGAGGCAGTGTCTGCATGATGGTAGGTAGAATAATTTATTTTAGTCTATAGCCTATATCAGGGGTGCCCAATCCCGGTCCTCGAGAGCTACCGTCCTGCAGCTTTTAGATGCATCCTTGTTCCCACACACCTGAATCAAATGAATGGCTTGTTATCAGGCCTTTGCCAAACATGATGGCATGCTGAAGAGATCAAACCATTTGATTCAGCTGTGTTGGAGTAGGGATGCATCTAAAAGCTGCAGGATAGTAGCTCTCGAGGACCGGGATTGGGCAGGCCTGGCCTATATCGTGCATCACAAAAAAAGGCCAGGAACCTTAAAAAGGGGCCTCATCCTGATCCTGGATTTATCTGTAAAGGAGCGTTTATGTTAATTTATTTTAGACCGATATAACAATATGAATAGTAAATGAAAGATTCAAAAATCTTTCTGCAGGAGCAGTATCAATATCACTATCACTATCACTATCACTATCAGCAACTCTGCATGATCTGCAGTAATGTCCTCTGTGTGTGTATTATTGTGTGTTTATTGTGCAGAGAGTGACCCAGCCACAGTCTACTCAGCAGTGAGAACTGAAGATGTCATTTATGGAGAAGTCATCATAAGTGACAAGAAAAATAAATCGAAGATGAGAGGTACATCTGTTCTTCTTTGTCTCCTGGTTTGGTTCACTTCAACACTCAAGAACTGATGCTTTGTTTCAATCTAAATGTTGACATTAAAATCCTAACAAAACATTAAAATGTTTAATTTTATAATGATCTCCATCTTAGTAACTAGTGACATCTGGTAAGTAACACCAAGCTACCAGGCGTATTCTGAGTTTCACAGGTTTGGTTACTTTTAAGTAACCAAATCCTGATTCACCAGAATCCTGGACATTATGAAAAAGCTAATTATCTTGTTTTGAGGTATTCTGTTATTATTTTAGGTCAGTCATGAGCCTAATGGGACTGATTGTAGTTAATCTAGACTGTTGATCTGTTATCCATCCATCCATCCATCCATCCATCTTCATCCGCTTTATCATCCCGGGTCACGGGGGCAGCAGCCTAAGCAAAGAGGCCCAGACCTCCCTCTCCCCAGCCACCTCCTCCAGCTTATCCGGGGAATACCAAGGCGTTCCCACCCTATCTCTAAGGAGAGGCCAGCCACCCTTCGGAGGAAGCTCATTTCCGCCGCTTGTATCCGCGATCTCGTTCTTTGGTCACTAACCCCAGCTCGTGGCCATAGGTGAGGGTAGGGACGTAGATCGACCCATAAATTGAGAGCTTCGCTTTTACACTCAGCTCTCTCTTCACCACGACGGACCGGTACAGCGTCTGCATTACTGCAGCTGCAGCCCCAATCTGTCTGTCGGTCTCCGGCTCCCTTCTCCCATCATTCGCGAACAAGACCCCGAGATACTTGAACTCCTCCACTTGGGGCAGGAACTCATCCCCGACCCGGAGTGGGCACTCCACCCTTTTCCGGCTGAGAACCATGGCCTCAGATTTGGAGGTGCTGAGCCTCATTCCCGCTGCTTCACACTCGGCTGCGAACCGTTCCAGTGCGAGCTGGAGGCCCTCACCCGATGAAGCCAACAGAACCACATCATCCGCAAAAATCAGAGATGAGATTCTGAGGCCACCAAAGCGAAAGCCCTCCTCCACTTGGCTGCGCCTAGAAATCCTGTCCATAAAAATTATGAACAGAACCGGAGACAAAGGGCAGCCCTGGCGGAGCCCATCACCCACCGGGAACGAGTCCGAATTATTGCCGGCAATGCGAACCAAGCTCTTACA